GGTGGCGTGGGTGCCTCTCGCACATTGTTCGGAGCTGGGGCGCCTTGGCATGATGAGATGGATGCCACATATGCCTCTCGGCATGGTGGCAGGGTGCCTCTCGCACGCTCTTCGGAGCTGGGGCGCTTTGGCATGGTGAGATGGTTGCCACATATGCCTCGACATGGTGGCAAGGGTGTCTCTACACTTTCTTCAAACTTGAAGCATCTTGGCATGGTGTTGGAGGGGTTCGTAACACGTGCTTGGTGGCACGATAATGCAGCGCGCTTTCAGCACATGTAGAGCAAGCGCCTCGCAACGCATGCACACGCACCTTGGGACTTCCTGGAGGTCACCCATCCGTGACTGCTCCCACCCGAGCACACTTAACTCCGGAGTTCTTATGGGATCCGTGGCAACTCTCCCACTTAGGGGTTAGGGTTTAACGCTTAGGTTTTTTGGGATAACTGTCTTGGGCCGAACTTCGGAGGTCACCCATCCCGTACTTCACATGCCCAAGCACTTTGGTGCCTCTCGTGCACATTCTTCGAGATAGATGCTACATATGCCTCGGCATGGTGGCGGGTGCCTCTCGCACGCTTCTTTGGAGCTGGGGCGCCTTGGCATGATGAGATGGATGCCACATATGCCACTCGGCATGGTGGCAGGGTGCCTCTCGCACGCTCTTCGGAGCTGGGGTGTCTTGGCATGGTGAGATGGTTGCCACATATGCCTCGACATGGTGGCAAGGGTGTCTCGACACTTTCTTCAAACTTGAAGCATCTTGGCATGGTGTTGGAGGGTTCGTACGCGCTTGGTGGCACGATAATGCAGCGCGCCTTTCAGCACATGCAGAGCAAGCGCCTCGCAACGCATGCACACGCATCTTGGGACTTCCTGGAGGTCACCCATCCGTGACTGCTCCCACCCGAGCACGCTTAACTCCAGAGTTCTTATGGGATCCGCTGGCAACTCTCCCACTTAGGGGTTTTTAGGTTTAGGGTTTAGGGTTTAGGTTTTTTTTTGGGATAACTGTCTTGGGCCGTAATTCTGGAGGTCACCCATCCCGTACTTCACATCCCCAAGCACTTTGGTGCCTCTCAAGAACATTCTTCGAGATAGATGCCACATATGCCTCTCGCATGGTGGCGTGGGTGCCTCTCGCACATTGTTCGAGCTGGGGCGCCTTGGCATGATGAGATGGATGCTACATATGCCTCTCGCATGATGGCGTGGGTGCCTCGCACGCTCTTCGGAGCTGGGGCGCTTGGCATGGTGAGATGGTTGCCACATATGCCTCTCGAATGGTGGCGGGTGTCTCGACACTTTTTTGGGATAACTGCTTTGGGCCAACTTCTCGTGAGGTCTCCCATCCTGGTACTTCACATGCCCAAGCAGTTTGGTGCCTCTCGTGCACATTCTTCGAGATAGATGCTACATATGCCTCTCGGCATGGTGGCGTGGGTGCGCCTCGCACGCTTCTTTGGAGCTGGGGCATCTTGGCATGGTGAGATGGCCACATATGCCTCTCGGCATGGTGGCAGGGTGCCTCTCGCACGCTCTTCAAACTCAAGCATCTTGGCATGGTGTTGGAGGGGTTCATAACATGTGCCTAGCGGCACGATAATGCAGCGTGCCTTTCAGCACATGCACAGCAAGCGCCTCGCAACGCATGCACACGCATCTTGGGACTTCCCAGGAGGTCACCCATCCGTGACTGCTCCCACCTAAGCACGCTTAACTCCAGAGTTCTTATGGGATCCGCTGGCAACTCTCCCACTTAGGGGTTTTTAGGTTTAGGGTTTAGGTTTTTTTTGGGATAACTGTCTTGGGCCAATTCTCGGAGGTCACCCATCCCGTACTTCACATCCCCAAGCACTTTGGTGCCTCTCGTGAACATTCTTCGAGATAGATGCTACATATGCCTCTCGGCATGGTGGCGTGCCTCTCGCACATTGTTCGAGCTGGGGCGCCTTGGCATGATGAGATGGATGCTACATATGCCTCTCGGCATGATGGCAGGGTGCCTCTCGCACGCTCTTCGAGCTGGGGCGCCTTGGCATCGCATGCACACGCATCTTTGGGACTTCCAGGAGGTCACCCATCCGTGACTGCTCCCACCTAAGCACGCTTAACTCCAGAGTTCTTATGGGATCCGCTGGCAACTCTCCCACTTAGGGGTTTTTAGGGTTTAGGGTTTAGGGTTTTTTTGGGATAACTGTCTTGGGCGAATTCTCGGAGGTCACCCATCCCGTACTTCACATCCCCAAGCACTTTGGTGCCTCTCGTGAACATTCTTCGAGATAGATGCTACATATGCCTCTCGCATGGTGGCGTGGGTGCCTCTCGCACATTGTTCGAGCTGGGGCGCCTTGGCATGATGAGATGGATGCTACATATGCCTCTCGCATGGTGGCAAGGGTGCCTCTCGCACGCTCTTCGGAGCTGGGGCGCCTTGGCATGGTGAGATGGTTGCCACATATGCCTCTCGACATGGTGGCAAGGGTGTCTCGACACTTTCTTCAAACTTGAAGCATCTTGGCATGGTGTTGAGGGGTTCGTAACACGTGCTTGGTGGCACGATAATGCAGCGCGCTTTCAGCACATGTAGAGCAAGCGCCTCGCAACGCATGCACACGCATCTTTGGGACTTCCTGTGGAGGTCACCCATCCGGTGACTGCTCCCACCCGAAACACACTTAACTCCGGAGTTCTTATGGGATCCGTGGCAACTCTCCCACTTAGGGGTTAGGGTTTAGGGTTTAGGTTTTTTGGGATAACTGCCTTGGGCCGAACTTCTCGGAGGTCACCCATCCCAGTACTTCACATGCCCAAGCACTTTGGTGCCTCTCGTGCACATTCTTCAGAGATAGATGCCATATGCCTCTCGCATGGTGGCGCGGTGCCTCTCGCACGCTCTTTGGAGCTGGGGCGCCTTGGCATGATGAGATGGATGCCACATATGCCACTCGGCATGGTGGCAGGGTGCCTCTCGCACGCTCTTCGAGCTGGGGTGTCTTGGCATGGTGAGATGGTTACCACATATGCCTCGACATGGTGGCAAGGGTGTCTCGACACTTTCTTCAAACTTGAAGCATCTTGGCATGGTGTTGAGGGTTCGTAACACGCGCTTGGTGGCACGATAATGCAGCGCGCTTTCAGCACATGCAGAAGCGCCTCGCAACGCATGCACACGCACCTTGGGACTTCCTGGGAGGTCACCCATCCGTGACTGCTCCCACCCGAGCACGCTTAACTCCAGAGTTCTTATGGGATCCGCTGGCAACTCTCCCACTTAGGGGTTTTTAGGGTTTAGGGTTTAGGGTTTAGGTTTTTTTTTGGGATAACTGTCTTGGGCCGAATTCTCGGGAGGTCACCCATCCCGGTACTTCACATCCCCAAGCACTTTGGTGCCTCTCGTGAACATTCTTCGAGATAGATGCTACATATGCCTCTCGCATGGCGTGGGTGCCTCTCGCACATTGTTCGGAGCTGGGCGCCTTGGCATGATGAGATGGATGCTGCATATGCCTCTCGCATGATGGCGGGGTGCCTCGCACGCTCTTCGGAGCTGGGGCGCTTTGGCATGGTGAGATGGTTGCCACATATGCCTCTCTAATGGTGGTGGGTGTCTCGACACTTTTTTTTGGGATAACTTTCTTTGGGCCGAACTTCTCGTGAGGTCTCCCATCCTGGTACTTCACATGCCCAAGCAGTTTGGTGCCTCTCGTGCACATTCTTCGGAGATAGATGCTACATATGCCTCTCGGCATGGTGGCGGGTGCGCTCGCACGCTCTTTGGAGCTGGGGCATCTTGGCATGGTGAGATGGTTTCCACATATGTCTCGGCATGGTGGCAGGGGTGCCTCTCACGCTCTTCAAACTCAAGCATCTTGGCATGGTGTTGAGGGTTCATAACATGTGCCTAGCGCACGATAATGCAGCGGTGCCTTTCAGCACATGCACAGCAAGCGCCTCGCAACGCATGCACACGCACCTGGGACTTCCCAGGAGGTCACCCATCCGATGACTGCTCCCACCTAAGCACGCTTAACTCCAGAGTTCTTATGGGATCCGCTGGCAACTCTCCCACTTAGGGGTTTTTAGGTTTAGGGTTTAGGTTTTTTTTTTGGGATAACTGTCTTGGGCCGAATTCTGGAGGTCACCCATCCCGGTACTTCACATCCCCAAGCACTTTGGTGCCTCTCGTGAACATTCTTCGAGATAGATGCTACATATGCCTCTCGCATGGTGGCGTGGGTGCCTCTCACATTGTTCGAGCTGGGGCGCCTTGGCATGATGAGATGGATGCTACATATGCCTCGGCATGGTGGCAAGGGTGCCTCTCGCACGCTTCGAGCTGGGGCGCCTTGGCATGGTGAGATGGTTGCCACATATGCCTCGACATGGTGGCAAGGGTGTCTCTACACTTTCTTCAAACTTGAAGCATCTTGGCATGGTGTTGGAGGGTTCGTAACACGCTTGGTGGCACGATAATGCAGCGGCGCTTTCAGCACATGCAGAGCAAGCGCCTCGCAACGCATGCACACGCATCTTTGGGACTTCCTGGAGGTCACCCATCCGTGACTGCTCCCACCCGAGCACACTTAACTCCGAGTTCTTATGGGATCCGTGGCAACTCTCCCACTTAGGGGTTAGGGTTTAGGGTTTAGGTTTTTTGGGATAACTGCCTTGGGCCGTAACTTCTCGGAGGTCACCCATCCTGGTACTTCACATGCCTAAGCAGTTTGGTGCCTCTCGTGCACATTCTTCGAGATAGATGCTACATATGCCTCTCGCATGGTGGCAGGGGTGCCTCGCACGCTCTTTGGAGCTGGGGCATCTTGGCATGGTGAGATGGTTTCCACATATGCCTCTCGCATGGTGGCAGGGGTGCTCTCGCACGCTCTTCAAACTCAAGCATCTTGGCATGGTGTTGAGGGGTTCATAACATGTGCCTAGCGGCACGATAATGCAGCGGTGCCTTTCAGCACATGCACAGCAAGCGCCTCGCAACACATGCACACGCATCTTTGGGACTTCCCAGGAGGTCACCCATCCGTGACTGCTCCCACCTAAGCACGCTTAACTCCAGAGTTCTTATGGGATCCGCTGGCAACTCTCCCATTTAGGGGTTTTTAGGGTTTAGGTTTAGGTTTTTTTGGGATAACTGCCTTGGGCCGAATTCTCGGAGGTCACCCATCCCGGTACTTCACATCCCCAAGCACTTTGGTGCCTCTCGTGAACATTCTTCGAGATAGATGCTACATATGCCTCTCGCATGGTGGCGGGTGCCTCGCACATTGTTCGAGCTGGGGCGCCTTGGCATGATGAGATGGATGCTACATATGCCTCTCGCATGGTGGCGGGTGCCTCTCACGCTCTTCGGAGCTGGGGCGCCTTGGCATGGTGAGATGGTTGCCACATATGCCTCGACATGGTGGCAAGGGTGTCTCGACACTTTCTTCAAACTTGAAGCATCTTGGCATGGTGTTGGAGGGGTTCGTAACACGCTTGGTGGCACGATAATGCAGCGCGCTTTCAGCACATGCGAGCAAGCGCCTCGCAACGCATGCACACGCATCTTGGGACTTCCTGTGGAGGTCACCCATCCGTGACTGCTCCCACCCGAGCACACTTAACTCCGAGTTCTTATGGGATCCGTGGCAACTCTCCCACTTAGGGGTTAGGGTTTAGGGTTTAGGTTTTTTGGGATAACTGCCTTGGGCCAACTTCTCGAGGTCACCCATCCTGGTACTTCACATGCCCAGCAGTTTGGTGCCTCTCGTGCACATTCTTCGAGATAGATGCTACATATGCCTCTCGGCATGGTGGCGGGTGCGCCTCGCACGCTCTTTGGAGCTGGGGCATCTTGGCATGGTGAGATGGTTTCCACATATGCCTCTCGGCATGGTGGCAGGGTGCCTCTCGCACGCTCTTCGAGCTGGGGCGCCTTGGCATGGTGAGATGGTTGCCACCTATGCCTCTCGACATGGTGGCAAGGGTGTCTCGACACTTTCTTCAAACTTGAAGCATCTTGGCATGGTGTTGAGGGGTTCGTAACACGCGCTTGGTGGCACGATAATGCAGCGCGCCTTTCAGCACATGCGAGCAAGCGCCTCGCAACGCATGCACACGCATCTTTGGGACTTCCTGTGGAGGTCACCCATCCGTGACTGCTCCCACCCGAGCACACTTAACTCCGGAGTTCTTATGGGATCCGTGGCAACTCTCCCACTTAGGGGTTAGGGTTTAGGGTTTAGGTTTTTTGGGATAATTGTCTTGGGTCAACTTCTGGAGGTCACCCATCCCGTACTTCACATGCCCAAGCACTTTGGTGCCTCTCGTGCATATTCTTCAGAGATAGATGCCACATATGCCTCTCGCATGGTGGCGGGTGCCTCTCGCACGCTCTTGGAGCTGGGGCGCCTTGGCATGATGAGATGGATGCCACATATGCCTCTCAGCATGGTGGCAGGGTGCCTCTCGCACGCTCTTCGGAGCTGGGGCGCCTTGGCATGGTGAGATGGTTGCCACATATGCCTCGACATGGTGGCAAGGGTGTCTCGACACTTTCTTCAAACTTGAAGCATCTTGGCATGGTGTTGAGGGGTTCAGAACACGCGCTTGGTGGCACGATAATGCAGCGGCGCTTTCAGCACATGCGAGCAAGCGCCTCGCAACGCATGCACACGCATCTGGGACTTCCTGGAGGTCACCCATCCGTGACTGCTCCCACCCGAGCACACTTAACTCCGAGTTCTTATGGGATCCGTGGCAACTCTCCCACTTAGGGGTTAGGGTTTAGGGTTTAGGTTTTTTGGGATAATTGTCTTGGGCGAACTTCTCGGAGGTCACCCATCCCGGTACTTCACATGCCCAAGCACTTTGGTGCATCTCGGCACATTCTTCGGAGATAGATGCCACTTATGCCTCGGCATGGTGGCGGGGTGCCTCGCACGCCTTTGGAGCTGGGGCGCCTTGGCATGATGAGATGGATACCACATATGCCTTGGCATGGTGGCAGGGCTGCCTCTCACGCCTTGGAGCTGGCATCTTGGCATGGTGAGATGGTTGCCACATATGCCTGGCATGGTGGGTGCCTCCGGGGCATGGTGTTGGAGGTTCAGAACACGCGGAGCAGCCGCAACATGCAATGCACGGGACAGGCACCAACAGTTCAGGACCGCAACCCAACCAGGGGTGCCCAGGGCCCAGGCCCAGGCCCAGGCCCAGGCCCAGGCCCAGGCCGGGCCCAGGCCCAGGCCCAGGCCCAGGCCCAGGCCCAGGCCCAGGCCCAGGCCCAGGCCCAGGCCCAGGCCCAGGCCCAGGCCCAGGCCCAGGCCCAGGCCCAGGCCCAGGCCCAGGCCCAGGCCCAGGCCCAGGCCCAGGCCCAGGCCCAGGCCCAGGCCCAGGCCCAGGCCCAGGCCCAGGCCCAGGCCCAGGCCCAGGCCCAGGCCCAGGCCCAGGCCCAGGCCCAGGCCCAGGCCCAGGCCCAGGCCCAGGCCCAGGCCCAGGCCCAGGCCCAGGCCCAGGCCCAGGCCCAGGCCCAGGCCCAGGCCCAGGCCCAGGCCCAGGCCCAGGCCCAGGCCCAGGCCCAGGCCCAGGCCCAGGCCCAGGCCCAGGCCCAGGCCCAGGCCCAGGCCCAGGCCCAGGCCCAGGCCCAGGCCCAGGCCCAGGCCCAGGCCCAGGCCCAGGCCCAGGCCCAGGCCCAGGCCCAGGCCCAGGCCCAGGCCCAGGCCCAGGCCCAGGCCCAGGCCCAGGCCCAGGCCCAGGCCCAGGCCCAGGCCCAGGCCCAGGCCCAGGCCCAGGCCCAGGCCCAGGCCCAGGCCCAGGCCCAGGCCCAGGCCCAGGCCCAGGCCCAGGCCCAGGCCCAGGCCCAGGCCCAGGCCCAGGCCCAGGCCCAGGCCCAGGCCCAGGCCCAGGCCCAGGCCCAGGCCCAGGCCCAGGCCCAGGCCCAGGCCCAGGCCCAGGCCCAGGCCCAGGCCCAGGCCCAGGCCCAGGCCCAGGCCCAGGCCCAGGCCCAGGCCCAGGCCCAGGCCCAGGCCCAGGCCCAGGCCCAGGCCCAGGCCCAGGCCCAGGCCCAGGCCCAGGCCCAGGCCCAGGCCCAGGCCCAGGCCCAGGCCCAGGCCCAGGCCCAGGCCCAGGCCCAGGCCCAGGCCCAGGCCCAGGCCCAGGCCCAGGCCCAGGCCCAGGCCCAGGCCCAGGCCCAGGCCCAGGCCCAGGCCCAGGCCCAGGCCCAGGCCCAGGCCCAGGCCCAGGCCCAGGCCCAGGCCCAGGCCCAGGCCCAGGCCCAGGCCCAGGCCCAGGCCCAGGCCCAGGCCCAGGCCCAGGCCCAGGCCCAGGCCCAGGCCCAGGCCCAGGCCCAGGCCCAGGCCCAGGCCCAGGCCCAGGCCCAGGCCCAGGCCCAGGCCCAGGCCCAGGCCCAGGCCCAGGCCCAGGCCCAGGCCCAGGCCCAGGCCCAGGCCCAGGCCCAGGCCCAGGCCCAGGCCCAGGCCCAGGCCCAGGCCCAGGCCCAGGCCCAGGCCCAGGCCCAGGCCCAGGCCCAGGCCCAGGCCCAGGCCCAGGCCCAGGCCCAGGCCCAGGCCCAGGCCCAGGCCCAGGCCCAGGCCCAGGCCCAGGCCCAGGCCCAGGCCCAGGCCCAGGCCCAGGCCCAGGCCCAGGCCCAGGCCCAGGCCCAGGCCCAGGCCCAGGCCCAGGCCCAGGCCCAGGCCCAGGCCCAGGCCCAGGCCCAGGCCCAGGCCCAGGCCCAGGCCCAGGCCCAGGCCCAGGCCCAGGCCCAGGCCCAGGCCCAGGCCCAGGCCCAGGCCCAGGCCCAGGCCCAGGCCCAGGCCCAGGCCCAGGCCCAGGCCCAGGCCCAGGCCCAGGCCCAGGCCCAGGCCCAGGCCCAGGCCCAGGCCCAGGCCCAGGCCCAGGCCCAGGCCCAGGCCCAGGCCCAGGCCCAGGCCCAGGCCCAGGCCCAGGCCCAGGCCCAGGCCCAGGCCCAGGCCCAGGCCCAGGCCCAGGCCCAGGCCCAGGCCCAGGCCCAGGCCCAGGCCCAGGCCCAGGCCCAGGCCCAGGCCCAGGCCCAGGCCCAGGCCCAGGCCCAGGCCCAGGCCCAGGCCCAGGCCCAGGCCCAGGCCCAGGCCCAGGCCCAGGCCCAGGCCCAGGCCCAGGCCCAGGCCCAGGCCCAGGCCCAGGCCCAGGCCCAGGCCCAGGCCCAGGCCCAGGCCCAGGCCCAGGCCCAGGCCCAGGCCCAGGCCCAGGCCCAGGCCCAGGCCCAGGCCCAGGCCCAGGCCCAGGCCCAGGCCCAGGCCCAGGCCCAGGCCCAGGCCCAGGCCCAGGCCCAGGCCCAGGCCCAGGCCCAGGCCCAGGCCCAGGCCCAGGCCCAGGCCCAGGCCCAGGCCCAGGCCCAGGCCCAGGCCCAGGCCCAGGCCCAGGCCCAGGCCCAGGCCCAGGCCCAGGCCCAGGCCCAGGCCCAGGCCCAGGCCCAGGCCCAGGCCCAGGCCCAGGCCCAGGCCCAGGCCCAGGCCCAGGCCCAGGCCCAGGCCCAGGCCCAGGCCCAGGCCCAGGCCCAGGCCCAGGCCCAGGCCCAGGCCCAGGCCCAGGCCCAGGCCCAGGCCCAGGCCCAGGCCCAGGCCCAGGCCCAGGCCCAGGCCCAGGCCCAGGCCCAGGCCCAGGCCCAGGCCCAGGCCCAGGCCCAGGCCCAGGCCCAGGCCCAGGCCCAGGCCCAGGCCCAGGCCCAGGCCCAGGCCCAGGCCCAGGCCCAGGCCCAGGCCCAGGCCCAGGCCCAGGCCCAGGCCCAGGCCCAGGCCCAGGCCCAGGCCCAGGCCCAGGCCCAGGCCCAGGCCCAGGCCCAGGCCCAGGCCCAGGCCCAGGCCCAGGCCCAGGCCCAGGCCCAGGCCCAGGCCCAGGCCCAGGCCCAGGCCCAGGCCCAGGCCCAGGCCCAGGCCCAGGCCCAGGCCCAGGCCCAGGCCCAGGCCCAGGCCCAGGCCCAGGCCCAGGCCCAGGCCCAGGCCCAGGCCCAGGCCCAGGCCCAGGCCCAGGCCCAGGCCCAGGCCCAGGCCCAGGCCCAGGCCCAGGCCCAGGCCCAGGCCCAGGCCCAGGCCCAGGCCCAGGCCCAGGCCCAGGCCCAGGCCCAGGCCCAGGCCCAGGCCCAGGCCCAGGCCCAGGCCCAGGCCCAGGCCCAGGCCCAGGCCCAGGCCCAGGCCCAGGCCCAGGCCCAGGCCCAGGCCCAGGCCCAGGCCCAGGCCCAGGCCCAGGCCCAGGCCCAGGCCCAGGCCCAGGCCCAGGCCCAGGCCCAGGCCCAGGCCCAGGCCCAGGCCCAGGCCCAGGCCCAGGCCCAGGCCCAGGCCCAGGCCCAGGCCCAGGCCCAGGCCCAGGCCCAGGCCCAGGCCCAGGCCCAGGCCCAGGCCCAGGCCCAGGCCCAGGCCCAGGCCCAGGCCCAGGCCCAGGCCCAGGCCCAGGCCCAGGCCCAGGCCCAGGCCCAGGCCCAGGCCCAGGCCCAGGCCCAGGCCCAGGCCCAGGCCCAGGCCCAGGCCCAGGCCCAGGCAGGCCCAGGCCCAGGCCCAGGCCCAGGCCCAGGCCCAGGCCCAGGCCCAGGCCCAGGGCCCAGGCCCAGGCCCAGGCCCAGGCCCAGGCCCAGGCCCAGGCCCAGGCCCAGGCCCAGGCCCAGGCCCAGGCCCAGGCCCAGGCCCAGGCCCAGGCCCAGGCCCAGGCCCAGGCCCAGGCCCAGGCCCAGGCCCAGGCCCAGGCCCAGGCCCAGGCCCAGGCCCAGGCCCAGGCCCAGGCCCAGGCCCAGGCCCAGGCCCAGGCCCAGGCCCAGGCCCAGGCCCAGGCCCAGGCCCAGGCCCAGGGGCCCAGGCCCAGGCCCAGGCCCAGGCCCAGGCCCAGGCCCAGGCCCAGGCCCAGGGCCCAGGCCCAGGGTTTGGGCCCAGGGCCCAGGCCCAGGCCCAGGCCCAGGCCCAGGCCCAGGCCCAGGCCCAGGCCCAGGCCCAGGCCCAGGCCCAGGCCCAGGCCCAGGGCCCAGGCCCAGGCCCAGGCCCAGGCCCAGGCCCAGGCCCAGGCCCAGGGCCCAGGCCCAGGCCCAGGCCCAGGCCCAGGCCCAGGCCCAGGCCCAGGGTTTAGGAGGGTTTAGGAGTTTAGGGTTTAGGCCCAGGTTTAGGGTTTAGGGTTTAGGAGGCCCAGGAGGCCCAGGAGGGGGTTTAGGGTTTAGGGTTTTAGGGTTTAGGGTTTAGGGTTTAGGGTTTAGGGTTTAGGGTTTAGGGTTTAGGGTTTAGGGTTTAGGGTTTAGGGTTTAGGAGGGTTTAGGGTTTAGGGGGTTTAGGAGGGTTTAGGAGTTTAGGGTTTAGGGGGTTTAGGGTTTAGGAGGGGAGGGTTTAGGGTTTAGGGTTTAGGGTTTAGGGTTTAGGGTTTAGGGTTTTAGGGTTTAGGGTTTAGGGTTTAGGAGTTTAGGGTTTAGGGTTTAGGGTTTAGGGTTTAGGGTTTAGGGTTTAGGGTTTAGGGTTTAGGGTTTAGGGTTTAGGGTTTAGGGTTTAGGGTTTAGGGTTTAGGGTTTAGGGTTTAGGAGTTTAGGGTTTAGGGTTTAGGGTTTAGGGTTTAGGGTTTAGGGTTTAGGGTTTAGGGTTTAGGGTTTAGGGTTTAGGGTTTAGGGTTTAGGGTTTAGGGTTTAGGGTTTAGGGTTTAGGGTTTAGGGTTTAGGGTTTAGGGTTTAGGAGTTTAGGGTTTAGGGTTTAGGGTTTAGGGTTTAGGGTTTAGGGTTTAGGGTTTAGGGTTTAGGGTTTAGGGTTTAGGAGTTTAGGGTTTAGGGTTTAGGGTTTAGGGTTTAGGGTTTAGGGTTTAGGGTTTAGGGTTTAGGGTTTAGGGTTTTAGGGTTTAGGGTTTAGGGTTTAGGGTTTAGGGTTTAGGAGTTTAGGGTTTAGGGTTTTAGGGTTTAGGAGTTTAGGGTTTAGGGTTTAGGGTTTAGGGTTTAGGGTTTAGGGTTTAGGGTTTAGGGTTTAGGGTTTAGGGTTTAGGGTTTAGGAGTTTAGGGTTTAGGGTTTAGGGTTTAGGGTTTAGGGTTTAGGGTTTAGGGTTTAGGGTTTAGGGTTTAGGGTTTAGGGTTTAGGGTTTTAGGGTTTAGGGTTTAGGAGTTTAGGGTTTAGGGTTTAGGGTTTAGGGTTTAGGGTTTAGGGTTTAGGGTTTAGGGTTTAGGGTTTAGGGTTTAGGGTTTAGGAGTTTAGGGTTTAGGGTTTAGGGTTTAGGGTTTAGGGTTTAGGGTTTAGGGTTTAGGGTTTAGGGTTTAGGGTTTAGGGTTTAGGGTTTAGGGTTTAGGGTTTAGGGTTTAGGAGTTTAGGGTTTAGGGTTTAGGGTTTAGGGTTTAGGGTTTAGGGTTTAGGGTTTAGGGTTTAGGGTTTAGGGTTTAGGGTTTAGGGTTTAGGGTTTAGGGTTTAGGGTTTAGGGTTTAGGGTTTAGGGTTTAGGGTTTAGGGTTTAGGGTTTAGGGTTTAGGGTTTAGGGTTTAGGGTTTAGGGTTTAAGGG